AGGACCTGCTCTGAAACCATGTTGAAACTAACTGGCAGGAATGAGAATGACTAGCAAGAATGTGAGTACAAATATGCAACCCTAGAATTTGTGTACCCCCTAAAGGCTAACCCACTGTAGCCTAAACAACAACAACAGATATAATGTTTGACAATTCTAACCTCAGAAAATTTTGATAGACATTTGTTATTTCATATGCTAAATGGTTCTCAAATGCAGGTTCATCTGCAATCAATACTGTCATTTTCTACACGCATTTGCTATTGAAGCTGTCGCATCTGTGTTCTCCATGTAAGGATGTTTGTCGGTTCACCTAGTAAATGAGATCCTAATTTATTGTATGTTTTTTTTCTTCTTAAAAACAGTTTTGTTTTTACTACATTGGTCTATGGATACCACATTTGTTAAATCATTGTGATGTATTGTTACATAATTCCATAGTAATATTTTTCCCTTTCTTATTGTGTCAATGATATTTTCAACAGTGGTCACGACTACTGTCATCAGCTCTATTGGGCAAAGAACCTGTGATTGTTTGACGAAGGCTTGGGTGCGTCTTACATGTTTCTCATCAACTTTTTATATTTTTTTCCCAACTGCTTTTTCCTTGGATTATACTATTGTAATTATTGAAATAAAATTTCTTCATATCAACGCAATTTTTTTTGTATGTGTATTTGCTATTCTTTTTGCAGAGTGTAACAGACCTTTGCGTCTCTTACTTGGACAAGACACATTTTGAGATGGAATTTACGTCTTCGAGAATCTTCCCGGGAGCTTCACTTGATGGTGAGTTACGACGAGTATTTCTTTTGCGTAAGAAGTCGGTTCTTGGGGATGGTGCTTGTCTATATCGTTGTCTGTCAAAAGCAAATTTTGGCAATCAATTTAAGTGGAGGGAACTTAAACGTGAGCTGATAAACTATGTTCGTGTACATTGGGAAGATTTCAAGGACATGGTAGCAATGTGCCATGATTTCTCGTTAACATCGTTAGATAGATATATAAGTTATATTGAGCAATCTTCTGTGTGGGGTTCAGTATGCGAGCTAAAGGCTTTTAGTGAGCTGTTCCAAAGAACAGTCATCATATGGTTGAACAATAGAAAATGGGCACAATGTGAAGGTTTGGAATTCGTGGCCAATGGAAATCACGTCCATTTGTTATTGGCGAACAATCATTACACTCTCCTCGAAGAATGTAATGACGGCGAGTTATTCGGCGAGTCGTTTTTAGAAGACGTTACAGAAGCGTCAACAGACAGAACAAGAATAGAGAGCGAGACAATGAACGTCGAGTCGACACAATCGGATGTTGTGAATGTGTTTCGACCAATTTCAAATGAGGAATCGTGCGAGGATCAATCCATTCATGTGAACAAAACATCAAATGATGTTGATGTGCATGAAGTATTAGACAGTACCATCGATTCGAATGGTAATATACTTTTCTCTATTCCCAAAGTTCAATTGAATGACACCAATTTTGTTGGAGTCATCAAGCGTGATGCGACTTTTGCGGTGAGATTGATGTTGAACAAAAAGAAAAAAAATGTGGGTGGATTTTCTTCGAAATATCATGCTGCTTGGGCACGACAATATGCGATTCTAAGGACACGCGGTTGCCAAAAAAAAGAACGTTTTCCATTTAATAAAATATTTTTTGCAAAAAACAATATGGTTGTGCCTAATGTCAGAAGTCCACTGGTGATCCCCGATAGATCCTAGGGAAGGGTTATAGGCTTGGCGGCCTGGGGGGTTATGGGCGCACTCACCCGCTATACAAACAAGCCCTTTTATCCCAGTGGTTAGTGACTGGGATTCTGACATGGTATCAAAGCGAAGGTCTCGGGTTCGAATCCCAGTGTGTGCACCTCGAGCATCCCAGTGCGGGGGGGTGTCAGAGGTCCACTGGTGATCCCCGATTGATCCTAGGGAAGGGTTATAGGCATGGCGGTCTGGGGGGTTATGGGCGCACTCACCCGCTATATAAACAAGCCATTTTATCCCAGTGGTTAGTGACTGGGATTCTGACACCTAATACATTCTTTGACACACTTTTTGAACTAGATTGTGGTGAAGAGCGATCACAAAATTATGTCGGTGTGTTTGAAGGATGCGGAAACTTTGGTTTTGAATTAAGGGTGGATGGAAAGAGTTACATATACGAGAAATGGAGTTCCCCTAAATCTGCTGCTCATGCAATACAATATCTTTTACATCTATTTTTCGGTCCAAAGTGTTAAAAAAAGTTACCATTTAGTGTTGAAAATTTTTATGACAATGGCAAGTTCATCCACAACGACTTTTTGGATGAACTATTTGCTGACGTGACAATGCGTTACGATGAAGAAACGCAAGAGTCGGAATGCTTGAGTGCAGCTATCAAAAGATTTGAAGAGTCTTCAAAAGAAGGTCCTATTCATGCGTGTCAATGTTGTGATAAACTATTTTTCGAGAGACAATTATTTAAGATAGACCTTGATTCAGTTCTCGAAGTGCATACTGTTTGTATTAGTTGCAAAAGTATTCTTTTGCGTGGAAACGTACCAACCTTGTCTCGGATTGGGAACGCTGTTTTGTCAAACATTATACATGTTGTATTTGTGTAGGCTGTAGTGGGTTAGCCTATAGGGGGGTCACAACATTAGGGTTTCATATTTGTACTCACAATCCTTGCTAGTCCATCATTCCAGTCCGTTATTTCTGACATGGTTTCAGAGCAGGTCCTTCGCTAGGACCGTTCTTAGGGCCCACCGTTACCTACATACCTACCTACCTACCGTGCGCCTCGTGCGCCTACGCGCCCTCGTGCGCCTCCTACCTACCGCGCGCGCGCAGCCCGCCAGCCGCCCGCGCGCGACTCGACTTTTTTTTTTAGCGCGCATATCCCGCTAGTCGCCCGCGCGCGGTCGATTTCGCTGCGCGCGCCCCGCTAGCCGCACGCGCGCGGCTGTTTTCTTTACGCGCGGCCCCGCACGCTGCCCGCGCGCTGCCTGTGCGCCTCGCTGACGCGCCCGCTGCTGCAGCCGCCCGTCGCCCGCTCGCGCACACCCCGCCGTGGCCCCGCAGGCCCGCAGCTCGCCGCCGCAGCTGCCGCACGCCCGTTGCCCGCAGCCGCCCGTCCGCCGACGCCGCTGCCGCCCGTGCACCGACGCCGCTGCCACCCGTGCGCTGCTGCCGCTGCTGCTTGCGCACCGCTCGCTGCTGCAGCCGCCCGTGCGCTGTCGGCGCTGCTGCCCGTGCGTATAAGCCCGTCGCCTGCTCGCGCAAGCCCCGCTGCCTGCAGCCGCTCGTACGCCGCTGCTTCCGCTGCTGCTTGCGCACTGCTGCCTCCCGAGCGCCGCCGCTGCCTGTGCGCCGCCGCTGCCCGTGCGCCGTCGCTGCTCCTACGCTGCCGCTGCCCGTGCGCTGCCGCTGCCCGTGCACCGCCGTTCCCCGTGCGCCGCTGCCGCCCGTGCGCTTCTGCAGCCGCCGCCCGCGAGGCACTCGCTCTCACTGTTGTTTATTTTCTACCTACCGTGCACACTGCTGCCACTGCAGCTGCCACCAGTGCACCGTTGCAGCTCCTGCTGCCACGCTACCTACTACTGCCGCTCGTGTGCCACTACGGACAGTCGACCCCGCCCGCGCCTTGCCTAGCGGCCCCGCCGGCCCCGTTGACCCTCCGCACACCTTTCCAGCGGCCTGCTTCCTACTACTACTGTTACTACTGCTACTACTGCTACTGCTACTGTCGCTATGGCTAGTCCGCCAGTTCTAGCTTTCGATGCCGAGGGCCGTCCAGTGAAGTTCGAAACCTGGCTAGATGACCTGCACCTGTTCCTACAGCTCACTGCCAAGGAAGATATCTCACTGTACGACCACGCCCTAGGCCATGCCACTGCCCCTGACTCGTCTGCTGACAGCACTCTGCGTTCTCAGTGGCAGACCCGTGATGCGCACGCTCGCTTTGCTATTCGCAACTCCCTGCCGCTAGACGAGCGCGAGCACTTCGGCCAGTGCAAGACTGCTAAGGACCTCTACACCGCTGTAGTTGCCCGCTACTCCTCACCCGCTTCTGCCACGCTAGGCCGCCTCACTCTCCCCTACCTGTTCCCTGACCTAGCCTCCTTTCACACTGTCGCAGACCTCATCACCCACCTTAAGACTAGTGAGGCCCGCTTTCGCGCTGCTATGCCTGCCGAGTTTCTCACTAGCAACCCCCCCCCGCTCTGGATCACTCTCTACCACATCGTCACCCGCCTCCCTGACTCTCTGCGCGCAGTCAGGGACCACTTCCTCTCTCGCTCCCCCACTGAGCTCACTGTTGCCCTCCTCGAGAAGGAACTGCTTGCAGCTGAGGCGAGCATCGTCGCTGTAGGCACCTCTCGTGGCGACCCCCGCACCCCGTTCTTTGAGGGGTGTTCCCCTTCCCCCCTCCTCCCCTCTGTCGCCTCTGCTGCTGCTGTCGACCTTCTTGGTGCTGAGAAGGTCGGGACCGCGTCTGCTTCGAGCGGGCGCCGCAGGAACAAGGGGGGCAGGGGTGGGGGTGGCGGCGGAGGAGGTGGGGGTGGAGGCGGTGGGAGTGGAGGCGCGACTGGGGAGGCTAGTGGCGGCAGTGGGGGAGGAGACAGCGGCGGTGGGAGTGGTGGTGGAGGCGGCAGCGGAGGCGGAGGTGGTCGTGGCGGCGGCAGGGGTGGAGGTGGCCGGGGCGGCGGCGGTGGGGGTGGTGGTCGTGGAGGCACTGGCGGAGGGCAGAGTCAGCAGCCCGCCCCGACGCTTCAGGCCGCCCGTGAGTGGTATGCGCAGCGTGGCTTTACCTGCACGTACGTCATTCGCACAGGTGACCGCAGCGGCCAGCAGTGTGGGAGGCCGCACCCCACGCAGCGCTGCTTCGCGCGCCTTAACGACGCGTGGCGCACTCAGTTTCCTGCTGCCACTGAGCTGCCGCGCTGGGCTGATCTGGAAAAGAGGGGTGTTGATATTTGGGCTTTAGACTTTGATGCTATTCTCACTGCCATGTATGCGATGTCTATTAGTGGAGAGGGTGCTCAGTACTTGCGTGTTCCGCCCGACCCGGGCATTCAGGCCAGTCCGGCTGCCGCTCTAGGTGCTAGTGCGTCCGTGCCCCCTGGTACTGAGTCGACTGCAGCACTGCACACCTTCACACTGGACTCAGGTGCTTCTCGCTCCTTCTTTCGTGACCGCACTGTCCTTGAGCCACTCGCTCGGCCAGTTGCTGTCTCCCTTGCTGACCCCTCTGGGGGTCCGGTCATTGCGACCTCCTCCACTGTCCTTCCTTGTCCGGCGGTCCCGTCCGGCACGCTGTCAGGTCTCTACCTCCCCTCGTTCTCTACGAACTTGGTGGCAGGTAGTGCGCTCCAGGACGGGGGTGTTCACCAGTTCACCCCTGCCTACGAGCGCGTGACACACTGCACGTGTGCTCGGACGGGTCGCCACCTGGCTACCTTCACTCGGGAGCCGGGGTCGGACCTTTACACACTGACCACTGAGTCCCCTCAGGTAGCTGCGTCCGCGTCTGCGTCAGCGTTAGGTCAGCTGTCCGCCCCCTGCTCGTGTCGCTCTCTGGCGCATGAGACTGTCCTTTGGCACCACCGCCTTGGTCACCCGTCTGTGCAGCGCCTTCGGGCCATGCACAAACGGGACCTTGTTGCTGGTCTTCCCAGGGTGCTCCCTCCCCTTCCCGACTCGCCTGCTCCTCCCTGTATTCCCTGTGTCGAGGGACGGCAGCGCGCCGTTCCTCACTCCTCCTCCTTTCCCTCGACGACTGCTCCCTTGCAGACGCTCCACTTGGACGTGTGGGGCCCAGCCCGCGTCCGTGGTCAGGGTCAGGAGAGGTACTTCCTGATTGTTGTTGACGACTTCTCGCGCTACACCACGGTCTTCCCCTTGCGCGCCAAGGGTGACGTCCCTGATGTCTTGATCCCTTGGATCCGCAGATCTCGTCTCCAGCTCCGTGAGCGTTTCCGCTCCGACTTCCCTGTCCTGCGTCTGCACTCTGACAGAGGTGGGGAGTTTTCCTCTGGCCTATTGGAGGCCTTCTGTCAGCAAGAGGGCATTGAGCAGTCGTACACGCTTCCGGCCTCTCCACAGCAGAATGGGGTTGCTGAGCGCCGCATTGGTCTGGTCATGGAGGTCGCTCGTACCTCCTTGAGCCATGCGGCTGCCCCCCATTTTCTGTGGCCGTTTGCAGTCCGATACGCTGCGCATCAGCTCAACCTCTGGCCCCGTGTCTCCTTGCCCGAGACTTCTCCGACACTGCGTTGGACGGGAGAGGCTGGCGATGCGTCGCGTTTTCGGGTCTGGGGATCCTGAGCTTTTGTCCGCGACACGTCCGCGGACAAGCTCTCCCGTCGCGCTGTCCCCTGCGTCTTCCTTGGCTTTGTCCCGGACGCCCCTGGCTGGCAGTTCTACCACCCCACCTCGCGTCGTGTCCTGGCCTCTCAGGACGTCACTTTTGACGAGTCCGTCCCCTACTACCGCCTCTTCCCCTACCGCACTGCCCCGCTCCCCCCCCGCCTCTCTTCCTCGCTCCAGGTGCTGAGGTACCAGACCCCCTCCCCCCTCAGGGTGCCGCTCCCTCAGGTGTGTCCCAGGTAGACCCGGGTGAGCCTGTCGAGGTAGCTGTTGACTCTCGTCCTGCTAGGGGTGCTGAGCCTGGGGGTGCTGCGTCTGGGGGTGCTGAGCCTGGGGGTGCTGCGTCTGGGGGTGCGGAGCCTGGGAGTGCTGAGTCTGGGGGTGCGGAGCCTGGGGGTGCTGAGCCAGGAGGTGCGGAGCCTGGAGGTGCTGAGTCTGGGGGTGCTGAGCCTGAGCGTGCTACACCTGGAGGAGCCCTCTCCTCCCAGCAGCTGCAGGAGAGGTACCTCGAGTACTGCCGCCTCCGGAGAGGTACTGCTGGAGCTCGTCCCGGTACTTCCCCTCCTACCCAGGAGCTCCCCCCCATTCAGCAGATCCGCGAGTGGTACACACGGCGCTGCAGTCTTCGGAGTGGTGCTCCTGGTGCTGCGGACCCTGGGGGTGGCGCTGCTGCTGGTGCTGAGGACCCGGACGTGGGAGCTGCTGCTGGTGCTGCGGACCCGCCTGGTGGAGCTGCTGCTGGTGCTGAGGACTCGGACGTTGGAGCTGCTGCTGGAGCTGAGGACCCGGACGGTGGCGCTGCTGCTGGTGCTGAGGACCCGGACGGTGGAGCTGCTGCTGGTGCTGAGGACCCGGACGGTGGAGCTGCTGCTGGTGCTGAGGACTCGGACGGTGGAGCTGCTGCTGGAGCTGAGGACCCGAGCGGTGGCACTGCTGCTGCTGCTGAGGACCCGGGCGTTGGAGCTACTACTGGTGCTGAGGACCCGGCCGGTGGAGCTGCTGCTGGTGCTGTGGACCCGGACGCTGGAGCTCCTACTGGTACTGAGGACCCGGCCGCTGGAGTCTCCTCTGCTTCCGGAGACGCTGCGCGGCCGCGACCGTACTTCGTACCGCTCCTTCAGCAGGTTCTTGGGCAGGCTCCTCCTCCTTGTCCTCCTCCCTCCGTAGAGTGTCCTCCGCCTGTCCGGCCGCAGTCACAGTTACCACCTACCTCGCCTCTCCCTGCTCCCTCTCCTTACACTGGTCCCACAGGAGGTCTTACAGAGCGTCGTGAGCCTGAGTCTCGTCCTGCGTCGCCTGTTCGTCCTGCTCGCACTGGTAGTCGTGTCCGTCGTGAGCGTCCTCCTCCTGTCCCAGGCACTCACTACATGACTCTGCGTCCCTCTACTGCTCCTCAGCGTGTCCCTCTACCGTCTCCTCCTGCGTCCTCTTTGCCTGACGTTCCGGACCCTGAGTCTGACCGGTATCGTGCTGAGCACCCTACTGTCACGCGTCTCCTCGCTACTGTTGTCACTGACCCTACCTTTGAGTCCTCGGCTGCGTCTGCTCTGGTCGCTGAGTTGGTTGACTTTGCTGCTGCCTGTCGTCTAGACTGCGCTGCTAGCCTTGTTGCTGAGTCTGAGTCTGAGTCTGTCTGTCCTCCGTCCGTCGGGGGTGAGTGTGCTCTTGGCACGGACGTCCTTGAGGACAGACAGGAGGAGTTCCAGTGTCTTGCTGCTGCTTTGCCCCGTCTCGTGTCCTTGCTAGTTGCCCCTGAGGGAGACCCGGATGCACCAGACATCCCGACCCCGCGCTCTTACGCTGAGGCGATGGCGGGTCCCTACTCCTCTCAGTGGCAGACAGCCATGGACGCCGAGATGGCTTCCTGGAAGTCCACACGCACCTACGTAGACGAGGTTCCCCCTCCTGGGGCGAACATCGTCAGTGGCATGTGGATTTTCAGGGTGAAGCGGCCGCCGGGTTCTCCGCCTGTCTTCAAGGCGCGTTACGTGGCTCGAGGCTTCAGTCAGCAAGAGGGAGTTGACTTCTTCCAGACCTTCTCCCCCACCCCGAAGATGACTACTCTTCGGGTGCTGCTGCACATAGCCGCTCACCGCGACTACGAGCTTCACTCACTTGACTTCAGCACTGCTTTCTTGCAGGGCAGCCTGCACGAGGAGATCTGGCTGCGCCGCCCACCTGGCTTCACTGGGTCGTTTCCTCCTGGTACCCAGTGGAGGCTTCAGCGGCCGGTCTATGGTCTCCGCCAGGCTCCGCGTGAGTGGCACGACACACTGAGGACTACACTTGCGGCTCTTGGGTTCGCGCCTTCTACAGCTGACCCGTCGCTGTTCCTGCGCACCGACACTTCGCTGCCGCCGTTCTACATCCTCGTGTACGTCGACGACTTGGTCTTTGCCACTGCTGACACTGCAGGACTCGCCTACGTGAAGTCGGAGCTGCAGAGGAGACACACGTGCACAGACCTGGGTGAACTGACAAGCTATCTTGGCTTGCGGATCACCCGGGACAGAGCACGACGCACCATCACCCTGACTCAGTCACACATGGTGCAGCAGGTTCTCCAGCGCTTCCGCTTCACGTACTCCTCGCCTCAGTCCACTCCTCTGCCTACCGGTCACTCGCTCTCAGCTCTACCTTCGGATGAGTCCGTAGAGCCGAGTGGCCCGTATCCAGAGCTTGTGGGCTGCCTCATGTACCTGATGACCTGCACTCGACCTGACCTTGCATACCCTCTTAGCATCCTTGCACGCTATGTCGCTCCTGGCCATCACAGGAAGGAGCACATGGATGCCGCTAAGAGGGTGTTGCGCTACTTGTGCAGTACGTCGGGCATGGGGCTTGTGCTTGGAGGGCGAGACCGAGTTGTTCTCACAGGGCACTCAGACGCTTCTTGGGCAGACGACCAGGCCACTCAGCGGTCGTCTCAGGGTTACACCTTCAGCCTTGGCTCTGGCTCAGTTTCTTGGCGCTCTACACGCTCTTCTTCTGTTCTCGGCTCTAGTTGCGAGGCTGAGATCTACGCTACAGCCATGGCTGCCCAGGAGCTACGCTGGCTGACCTACCTGCTGACCGACCTCGGAGAGCGGCCTCGTTCTCCTCCAGTACTGTACGTCGACAACAAGGCTGCCATTGCCTTGTGTGAGGAGCACAGACTGGAGCACAGAACGAAGCACATCGCCCTGCGGTACTTCCTGTCAGAATGTTGCAATTGTCTAGCCTGCAGTGGGGTACTCCATAGCGAGTACAACCCAAATTAGGGTTTCCTATATGTACCTTGCATGCTGCTAGTACAACCCCTCTTCTCTGTTCTATCTTTCGCACTACTATCTCGATATGGTAACAGAGCGTTCACGCTCCTGGCCTGTGGGCCCCACTGCTGCTTCCGCTGCCCTACTCTGTGTCGCGCGCCCCGTGGCGCGCGACCTTCACATTTTCATCCCGCCGCGCGCTCGGGGCGTGCGGCGGTTTTCTCCCCGCCGTGCGCACCGAGGCGCACGGCGGTTTCCTACCGTGGGGGACGCCCGCGGCCCCCCGATCCCGTCGCCCGCGGCCCTCCGGTCCCGTCGCCCGCGGCCCCGCGATCCCGTCGCCCTGGGGAGCCGCACGCGACCCCCCGCGGCCCCGTTTTCCCGTCGTGCCGCCCTGGGGAGCCGCGCGCGACCCCCCGCGGCCCCGATTTCCCGTCGTGCCGCCCTGGGGAGCCGCGCGCGACCCCCCGCGGCCCCGATTTCCCGTCGTGCCGCCCTGGGGAGCCGCGCGCGACCCCCCGCGGCCCCGATTTCCCGTCGTGCCGCCCTGGGGAGCCGCGCGCGACCCCCCCGCGGCCCCGATTTCCCGTCGCGCCGCCCTGGGGAGCCGCGCGCGGCCCCTCGCTGCCCCGTGGTCGCGTTCTGGGGGCCGAGCGCCGTCCCCCTCGCCGTCCCCCGCGCTCCTTCCCCCGTTCCGCCCGTTTTTAGGGTTTGGGGGTGCGGAGTGTGGGGGTGGCAGCTCTGGGGGTGCCGTGTGTGTGCGCCGTCCCCTGCTCCTCCTCCTCCTCCGTCTCCCACTGCTGCAGCTGCCGCTGAGGGGGGTGGATGTGTGGGAGCCGAGGTTTAGGGTTTAAGGGGGGTGCCGTGGAAGTGGAGCTAGGGTGTCAGCAGGGGGTGTGTGAGAGGGGCGTGGGACGGTCGGGGGAGGTTGCGTGGAAGTAGCCGTCGTGACGCCAGCAGCGCCAGTAGTCCGGATGCCCTCGCGCGTTTCGGTAGCCCAGCGAGCCTGCTTCGCCAGTTGCCTGTGGGTCAGTTGCTCCTGTGTGTGCTCGTCGTAGCCGCGGAGCCAGATACTCCCGTAGTCCGGTGCCCTCGTGCGCTCGGTAGCCACTGTGCACGCCGCTCCTGTTGCCCGTTGTGTCTGCAGCAGATCGCCCCTCACAGTCTCTCCTCCTCCTCACTTGCCCTCTGTGACTGCCTCTAGCTTTACTTGCATTTGTGGACTTGATCTATGACTGGTTATTTGCGCTGATTACACCCCACTTTGGCTATGGGGGTGTGTCAGAATGTTGTAATTGTCTAGCCTGCAGTGGGGTACTCCATAGCGAGTACAACCCAAATTAGGGTTTCCTATATGTACCTTGCATGCTGCTAGTACAACCCCTCTTCTCTGTTCTATCTTTCGCACTACTATCTCGATACTTCCTTGCTCGTGAGCTGCAGCAGCGCGGTCAGCTTTGTATTCGCTACGTGGCCACTGAGGCCAACACTGCTGATGTGTTCACCAAGGCGCTTCAGCCTCGTGACCATCAGCGCTTCTGCACTCTACTAGGCCTTGTGCCTACTGGACCTCACTTGCTTACCTCTTGACTTTGCTTGTACTGTGATCACTATATATATCTATACCTGCATGTTTACTCTTGCTAGGTTGTGATCACTGTATCTCTTGCTCTGTTATAAACTTGCATGTGAACTGGTCTTGTGACCACTAGCTTGTGCTCGGAATTTGTGTGGAATCCTTGAGGTCCACCCTGAGCTTGTTGTTGCCTTGTTTTGCCTTGACTGGTCTTGTGACCCCTAGGACTCCCCCACTTTGCCTATGGGGGTGTGTCAAACATTATACATGTTGTATTTGTGTAGGCTGTAGTGGGTTAGCCTATAGGGGGGTCACAACATTAGGGTTTCATATTTGTACTCACAATCCTTGCTAGTCCATCATGTTTTGCCTACTCGGCCCGACGTTCTTAAAGGATTGACGCTTTTAGAAGAACGATTGCTTTCTCCCCGCATTGTGTTTTCAAATATAACACAAGGTCATGTGGTAATATAAGATACAAGGAGGTGTAGTTAATCTACCAGTCAAAGTTGTTGACATGGTAACAGCTCTTCCACGTTTACCTCATGAAACACAGACAGTACGTGTTCGTTTAAAGCGAAAATTGAGCAATGTTCATAATGTGTATGACGACAACGTACGACCCAGTAAAATATCTCGTGCACTTTCGTTTTTGGAGAAGAAAGAGCTTTTTATAAAATTTGGAATCACCTTAAATCCAGAACGCTTGAGTGAGTTGCAAGCAGAGATTGAAGAGATGAACATTTATAATAGTTTTTTCTCAAACAATGATCGTGAAAATGATAAAACACAAAGTGAAAATGACGGTAGCATTACAGACGATGAAGTTGAAGTTGATCTTGTAGAGGGCGATTTGAACGTTGGAATACTTGATACGATCATATGTAATGAACCATTTTATCAAAATTTGGAACAACATATTGTTGTCGAGATAAGCGGTAGTCTTAGGAGCCATAGCTAGGAGAGTCATAGCTAGGCGAGAGAGTTTAGGCAAAAGAGAGGGGTTGCACTAGCAAGAATGGGGATACAAATAGCAAACCCTAGAAGAGTTGTACTCGCTACAGAGCACCCCACTACAGGCTAGAGCATAATATTCTGACAATTGTGGAGATGGCTCCTGGAGAAGGAGCTAGACCATTACCCATTTTGATGGATAAAAATGTTGAAGAGTTGGCATTTCCAACTCTATTTTGCGGAGTGGCTCGTTTATCCAACGTAGACAAATCTGCGCTAAGTTACCGTGATATCGCAAAAAGGGAGGTATTGCATAAAGATGCGCGATTTTCGACTTGCCCGCACAACATTTTTTTGAAGTTGTTCAAATTGGAGTTGCAACAAATGGATAACGTAATTGGAACGCGGGTGCGACGAGAAATGATTGAGCATATTAGTGAATATTCAGCGAAAGTTCTTTTAAACAATGAAACTCGCAAAAACTTACAAAAAAAAAAGATGTGTTGTTTAATGAGTTCAAACGTTTTCGAGTATCTCCGCAGTATTTAGAGAATTGTAGAAAAGATTTGTTCGCAATGATCCGACAATTAAGACCCCCTACATTTTTTTTTTACGATTTCTATGACAGATAAAAAATGGATTGATTTGCATTCAATTTTATTAGAACATAACAAAAACACTAGAAATCTTGCAAATCTTGCCCAAACGACTATGAATCTTCCGTAAGACTTTGAAAATGTAGCACTACTTGTACCTACATATCCCGTCGTTTGTGCACGATATTATGTAGAACAAAAAAACGCCCTGTTTCGAGAAATCTTTTCACACAAAACGGGCGTTTTGGCAAAGTACTTGATTACTTTGTGCTCGACGAGTTTCAATATCGCGGTGCACCTCATTCTCATTGTTTAATTTGGAGCGAGTTTTCTGCGTGCGATTTCGCAATACCACTCGAGAAGATATTGGTCTTTGCTGATAGACACATATCATGTCATGGTCAAGACCTTACAAATGATCGTGTTGACGGCTATTTGGGACCTAGAAGCTCTTAGCACACCTTTAAATCACACTAGGTAGTCCCCACGGGGTCACCTCCAAGGGTCCTTGGGTGCCTGGTAAAACCAGCCCCTATCCAAGGGTCCGTGTTTGTAGAGGGATTCCCTAAGTATGAAAACCGTCGTGTGCACTAGAGCATTCCCAAACTCGTATGCGGAAGCATTGACAATAGATTGGAACGTGTGCAGAAAATTCTCCTCGCGTCAATACGTCGATAGAGAATATTTTCACTTGTCAAGGTTATGATTACAATCAAACACAAACATACATTTATAGAAAGCACTAACCACGAACTTGAGCAAGCACAAGGCAAACATTTCACAGTTATGAAACTGTAATTTAGGACTTCGCCATGTTGTCATAGAAAAACGGTTGTCAAACTTCATGCATTTGGCTTGATCCGCTTCCTTAGAATAACTGACTTCGAGTTGTACTTGATCCAAACGCCCCTGCTGACTCCCATCGCGAGCACTCATGAATGACCGTTAACATTCATGAAGCCTCGTGTGGGAAAACCGTTTTCCCGTTGCAAAACGGAATTTACCGTTTTGTACCTTGTCGAAATGATCACGCAATGTGGCATGACTTTCCAGAGAAGTATTCTGTTTGCCACGTCATAAAAGTCAAAGCTCGAGA